TCACCCGTCGCGCTTAGGTTAGGCCCATGCGCCCCCCCTTTTCGTTGCGCATAGGTAAGCCCCCCGCCGGCCCCACCCGACACGCTTCAGAAATACCCCAGTGTGAGATCTGGTCACGATTAGGTCAGGCCCCTTGTGGGCCCCACCCCACATACTTACAAAACGCCCCCGCGGGCCCCTGCTCTTGTTACGTCGGGCCAGCAGCGACGCACCGCGAGTCAGCGCGAGCAGCGGTAGCAATTGCGCGCTGGGCATCAATGCGAGCAGTAGTGGCGCGCCGCTGCTGCCAACAACAGATAGCACCCGCAATAGTAGCTAGCGCCCGCAACAGTGGATAGTGCCCGCAATAGCAGCTAGCGTCTACAACATAATTTAGCGCCAACACCATCAGCTAGCGTGTAGCGGTAGCCACCATGCTAGTTGTGCCCCAACTGTAGCATACCGTCGCCCTCAACGAGCATCTAGTGCGGCAGCAGTGCCAGCAAGCGGCAACAGCAGCTAGGCGGCCGCCAGCAAGTGCCAGCAGCATGCCATCCTACTGCTAGCAGCTAGCAGTGCCTCCCACACCATCCTCTCCACCAACGAAACTCCGAACAGCGGCTGGCAGCCGCATTAATTTCCTCTGGCGTTGTTTCTAGTTCCAGTCGTTCCTCGCTCCGACCGTTCGGAGGTCCAGCCATTCCTAGCTCCAGCCGTTTCTAGCTCAAGCTGCTCCTAGCTCGAGCTGCTCCTAGCGCTAGCTGTTTCTATCTCCAGTTCCTCCTAGCTCCAACCGTTCCTTGCGCCGACCGCTCCTCGCTCCAACCGCTCCTAGCGCCAGCCGTTCCTAGCCTGCTGCTCCTACGACCTGCTAGCTTTTACCATGGCATCCGCTAGAGTGCTGCAGAAGCAGGTACACTAGCAGCAGGAGTTCACACAGCGGGGACCTCAGCAGCAGTAGGGGCTTGGTCTGGGGAGCGTCGGTCGCAGCAACGGCCCAGATAGCTGGGGGCTAGTCGTGGTGGTCGCGACGTCGTGCTCTGCAAGTACAGGATCCTAACCGGCCCTGGTGTTGGCACTACCTGCAGATATACTGACCACTCCACGTTCCACAGTTTCAGTCACCTCGATGACCTCTATCGTGGGCGTTTCGGGCCTGACTCAGTTTTCCTGACCTGTTTTGTTTCGCGTAGCTGCCGTGTGTTTGGTATTTCCATAGATAATATTCACTCTTACGTGTATCCTAATGCCTCTAGTACTATCGGATTTCTGTGAAGCTGAGAGTCTATGCAAGAAGAGAACTGATGCAGTTTGAAAGGGTCAAATGCAAAGGAGCAAAAAAAAAAGGAAACATGGGGAAGAAAATTACTGAATGTCTGACCTTGTCAAGAACAATGGAGTGCCCGAGACAACAACATGAACTAGGGGCGTGGGATCCTCTTAAAGGATTGATGAAGCTGAGTGGAATCACTATTGAAGACACAATTCATGGTCGCAGGAAAATTTTAAATCATCGTTAGGAAAGAGTGTGCTGCTGACAAACAAGATGGAGAAAGTTCGAGACGCATCGGCACTCGTCAAAATTCTAGAGGTGATTCAGCACTCTGTGCGCAAGATGGTGGGCAGTAGTGTTAGATCCTCATTGGCAATGAAGCAGGAGAAATGCGAGGAGTAGCAATGATGGTAAGTTCGAGCCATGTGAGAGTGATGCAGCATTCGAAGGGACAACGCCGGAAGTTTAAGACCTTTTGAGCAAAGAACGAAGCCGACCGGGATTATCTCGGGGGAGGAGCAGATCATTGAGGAGGCCGATTGGGGGCACCAAGGATGTTTGGTGAAGTGGCAACAATTCTTCGGGTTGCCATTGTTATCAAAGCTCTGAGGAAGCGGGAGCGGCGTGTGTAGAATACCATGGGTGACAACGATTAATAAGTTGGGGAACGAACAAGTTCAGCAGCGGAGAGTTCGTGGCTTAAAATCAACAAATTGAGGGGGAGTTTTGGTGAATACATAACTGATTTTCGTATATCAATCAACCGATTATTCTAGGGTGTGTTTGAAGCAGACAAAGTGACAGGGGCGAGTCTGATATAAGCGAGTGATCGTGGGAGCCGTTCAGAAGAAGACTTTGACTTTGACCAATGGGAATTGGTGAGGGTGTTTAGAAACCGAGTTTAACTCTTGAGTTTCTCGGTCCCAATCGCAGTGAGCGGCGCCTGCTCAGGAGGCAAGTTCGCCCTGCCTTGTTTGGAAGGCTCTGGTTGGATGCTGCTCCTGTGGCGAGTTCGTTTCGTCACCAAGCGAGCAGAAGCTCGCGCCACCACATTGTGTCAGAATATATTTCTGTATAACTGCATGTAGTTCTAGCTGTAGTGTAGTTATATCGCTGTCATGCTTGTGGTGCACCCCCCTCCTTACTTGTCTCTTGTATAACTTGGGCCTTTGGCCCTTTAGTGAAACATTCTTTCTCGGCACTTTCCCCTTGCCAAAACTCTCTCGACATTGAACCCTAAGCATACCTCCTAATCTCTCCTAGCTACTATTCTAACACATTGTTGGTGGTTCTAGTTGGCTACTATTCACAAGGTGGGTTCAGTTTGTCGGCGAGCGAGCAGCTACTTGCGTCAGCACTTCTGTAGGGCTGTGATTGGCTCTTGCTCGCCCGACGATTTAGGTGGCAATTTCACTTTTTTTTTTTTTTTTTTTTTTTTTTTTTGTAATTGTTGAGGTGATTAGGAGCAGGGCTGACGTTTCATTTCAAGCTTCCCTGATTCCGGGGAAAATTTTCCCCCTCTATTATGGGTGCACATTTTCCAGAAAAGCAGTACCCTGATTGCTCAGGGTTGTAAAGTAGTTAACACTGATTGTTCAGGGTCGAGAACTGAACATCAGAGTAGTAACGCGCGCTTTGTTACCGAGGAAAATATCCCCACTCTCCATGAAGTCTCGAAGTTTCGATCAGAACGAAGTTTCTTCGAAACTTCGTCTCGATAAGCGGGAAGGGGGGGGATTACGCACATGTGGGGGGATCACTGCGATCAAACCAAGGCGGGGTCATCGGAAGGAAACTTCCGAGAAACTTCCTTTCGATAAGTCGGGGAAAAAATCCCCACTCTCCATAAAGTCTCGAAGTTTCGATCAGAACGAAGTTTCGAAGAAACTTCGTCTCGATAAAGCGGGGAGGGGGGGGATTACGCACATGTGGGGGGATCACTGCGATCAATCCAAGGCGGGGTCATCGGAAGGAAACTTCCGAGAAACTTCCTCTCTATAAGTCAGGGTCCACACAGTCGATACTCTGTTAAGTCAGGGTCCACTAACAGCCTAGTCTATTACACTGTACTCAAAATCAGGGATACCTAAACTATTACTCTGATTGGATCAGGGCTGGAAATTCAATAACTCTGAAATTTCAGTCTCCACGAAGTGGAAAGCCTGAAATCACCCTGAAATCAGGGTAATTACCCTGATAAAATCAGCCCTGATTAGGAGGCGATCGTTGCTGTTCATGGATCAAGTGTTTTAGGTGGCGAGCACCAATTGGTCGACTGAATGAATTTGCGAGCACTTGCGCAGCGAGACTTCGTCATTTACGAGTGGTCGAAAGTTATGCTGATCGAGTTGCCGATTGCCACCGACATTTTCTCTCGCGCAAAATTCAAACAGACTTCATCGCAGGTGTTCGCAAATGGCGCGAAATGTAATGCTCAAATCGGCACCGTCGAATTGTTTCGCGCGCGATATTTAAATGATTTTTGCGACGCATCGAGACCGTGCCAGGTTAGGAAATAAATTGGAGGGAAACTCGATATGTGTTCGCGCTACGAGGACTGAAACAGGAAACGTAAAACAGGATAGGAAAACTAGAATAGAGTAGGCTTAGTACAAAATTATTAGCTCTTGCCTTGTTTCAAATAATTAGCTCCAGCCACTCAGCCCATTCTATTATGTACTGCTGCTGCCAGATCTCAGAGAGACGACTACGCCAATGAAGAGACACCGGCTACTGCAATCTTGCTGCTGCTGCGAGTCTCTCTACACAACCAACCCAGACCCTTGGATAGGAGCTGACCTTTGGTCCGGCACCTAAGGACCATCGGAGGTGACCTTGAGGAGAATTTCCAGCATCAGATTAGGCCGTTACCGTAAGCCCCCGGATAGAAGCGCAGGCCTCGGATAGACGGCGCTTATATCTGGTCCTCGATTATAAGCCCACCCCCTAAAAAAAAATAATTTATTATAAGCACATGTTGGTTTTTCATTTGAAAACCTGACGAAATACAGAAACAAATTTCACATTATCAGGGAAACGAACTACAAATTCGATTTCCCACACTCTGATCTCACTTTTTGCGCGTCTAGTCAGCATGTTCTGTCATTCTGTCAGTTTGAGTTGGCAGGGAATCACTCCCTGGCAATCTGCGCGAGAATCAGATTCGCGACCCTTGATGTTTTTGACTCGATTACGATCGGCGGAACGAGATCTGCAGTTTGGTGTAAAACAGATATAAATTCCTTTTGCCATTTTATTAACGCCAGCGCTTATAAAATTCCTCGATTATAAGCGCACCCCCTAAAAAACAGTGTTTTTTTATACTCCCAGGGGCGCTTCTATCCGGGGGCTGACGGTAGTAGCCGTCTTAGTACGTTTCAATGATAACATCTTCCTCAGCCTACTACTAATCGATCCGCGTACCTATTTATGTCGTCAGCTCAGGATCACCAGCTACCAACGTTTTCGTCTCCCCGCGTCCAGCCCATTCCTGTTTCCAGTCTGGGAAAATATATGCATCATTCTCCGAGTCTGGGAATGTATTCCTGCTCTTGAAAACGAATCATGATTTAACAGACAGAATAGAATGGGCTGAGTGGCTGGGGCTGCACGCTTGTGGCACAGAATGGCATGAGAACCAATTGCTTGCCTTGCGCCATTTGGAGACACATTGTACACACTTGATAGAAAACCAATCATGGCATCAAAGTGTTTTTTTTCACAAGCTTGCAAGCTGTTCCGCTGGCCATCATGTCTGTGCAGAGACAGCCGTTGTGTCACCCTCGTGCATGACTTGCTCATTCAGCAATGCTAGATCCTCCTCCATGCTCCTCCGTAACCGCTGGCTCGACAGCTTCTCGTCAACCCTTGCTGCAGCTCTCACTCTCGCATCCCCCCCTTCCGCCTCCTCTCGTATAATTTCCAGGTATTGGGCCACTCGGGACATGGAGGGGCGGGAGGCGGTGGGCATGGCAGTGCAGGTGACAGCGAGGTGGGCAAGGCGTATGGTGATGTCCTCAGGTGCTTCCATGCGGGGATCCCTGAGGGGTGATGTCTTCCCCTCTGCCATGAGACCAGTTGCCTGTGATATGGGGCAGGACAGACATGACAGGAGTGGGAGAATGCATGATATGGGCGGGAAACACACGACGGGGGTGGGAAACACATGCCGTGGGTACAACAGGTGAAGGGAACCCGGATGAGTACATGCTTAAATAGTTGTGGTTAGAGCATGAAGGAAAGAACAGTGCAGGCACTGACGAGCAGAAGCGGGAATAGCAAACGCACCCATTTGGAGATGGAGATTGGCTCGTTGCTGGCAGAGGCACACGACTCATTGGCTGGGCTGATCGCACTGATGGTGGCTCCTCTGCCTGACAGCATCACCAGCATGAGAACTCCAAAGCTGCACAGCAACACACATCCAAGGAGAAACAAGGATCTAGAGTTTAGGGTTTAGGGTTTAGCTCCCCGGAGATGAGCTCTTGGTGGCCATGGTCACAAAGGCTTGTTGCATTGATGGTGGATCCTCTGCCAGAAAGAATTACCAGCATGATGCCAAAGCTGCACCACGAAGCACACTCATATGTGAAACACGAAACGGAGCAGGGAGGCAAGGATCCCGTCATGCTATACGCTTGAAAAGCCATGGGAAAGAAGCATTGCGAAACGCCATCTGACAATGGGAGGAAAGAATGCAAGTGGGGGCAGATGGCAATAGATGAAAAGAAAAAGTAGTTTTTTTTTTCGGGACGTTGGAACGCGCATAAAGCCTCAACTCCCTTGTATCTCATTCGTTCATTGATCGTGCATTCGGCAAAGTAGGGGATGTGGTTCCACACACGTTACCCTGTTTGCACATCACGGCTGCATTGTGTATTTGCACACCAGTGACGGTGGTGGCGTCACTTTCCTTAGATTACGAATCCAACTTGGCTTAAAAGCTGGCATTCGAATCTGCACCACACCTATAAACGTCAGCAGTGCTGGTGGCGGTGTGCGTGAGGGAGTAAGCAGGGTCCACATAGCCCACCGTTCCCAGCACTCGCGTGAAGCCCGTTGCCGTGCCCGCTGCTGTGCCCTCCCCCACGTGCACAAGCCCAAAGTCTGCCACCTTCGCCTGAGGAAGGCCGGGCAGGGCAGGCAAGATGAGAGGTGGAGGAGGATTGGGGCACCATGGATTCATCTGATTGAGACAGGAGGGGTTTATCTGATTGGGAGTGTGGATTGAGATGATTCAAGGTGGTTGTAACACGTTACCACCGCACCTGCACTCCCTTCGATACGGGCCCGTGCTATTTCCTCGCAAAAGGCCGCGTTGTCTAATCCCAAAGCGAATGGAAGAAGCATGAACGCCTTATCACTGCACCAGCATGTAAATCAAGTGTCTTGCCAACATCTCATCACCCAGCCTCATCACCGCACCGCACCGCACCTGCATGTGGGCGTCAATGAGGATGTTGGCTGGCTTGATATCCCGATGCACGAGGCCAAAGCTGTGGAGATACTCCAACCCACGTGCCACCCCTAGTAGGATTCCAACCCGCTGCTGCAAAGTCAAGCTCGTGGGCGCATCTGGAGAATGGTAGAGCAGAGGCAAGGCCGCATTGGAGGAAAACAACATTAGAGAAAATCTGCACAAGAGAAAAGCAGCATTGGAGTCGTGAACTTGCTGATGGTTTCAGTGTGATTGGCACTTCAAACCCAACAAAGGCATGCATTGAAGTTTTTCATCTGCTGGCTATTGCAGATCAGGTATGTGCAAGGATCAAGATTCATAATGGGAGTAGCAGCGAACTTGTGAGAAACTAGTTTCGGCCAAAAGGGACAAACTAGTATTTTCATCTGCTGGCTATTGAAGATCAGGTATGTGCAAGGGCCGGACCCAGCTCTATAGTCGCGGTGGACCTCCCTGCCTCGTCACACCTTCTTCGAGCCTGGCTTTATTTTTCTGCATTTACTTATCCACACAACTGCATCGTCCAAACAACATACAAAAAACGACCGGATAGTACCTGGGCCCATCCACGTGCGCAGGTCGCCATTTTTGAGACGTCTCAAAACGAAATGGACCGGGCAGTACCTGGGGCGATCCAGTGGCGCAGGTCGCCATTGGCGATGAACTCGTAGACGAGAATGTTCTCCACCCGCGTGTTCACATGGCCCCCCACTGCATACCCCAGCAGCCGCACCAGATTGGGATGGTGCTTCGTTGCCATCTGCGCCACCTGTGGTAGACAAAGAGAAGAAATGCAGGGAAGGATGGGTGTGCTGACACAATGCAGCACTAATAGGCGAATGTTTGTGTAATGTACGAGCATCTTGGTTTCTCGTACATTGCCATTGAACAAACTCGCTTCACTCTAATTTCAGCAGTGTGTTACTCATAGAATATGAGAATACATACAAGACTAATTGATGGCAAATAGGCCGAACGAAGAAGAAAATAAATGTACATATATATATAGTCTCACAATCGAAATCGGTTGAGAAGTTGCAACATCATTCCCTCCCCTGTTTGCCATGGCATGCAGCAAGTCAGGATATAACCCATGTGGTACACGCCTCCAAAGTCGTTGTCACTCATGGTGGAAGGGCAGCAGTGCTGGTGAAACGTTTTAGCAAGTAAGAAAGAGAGTAAAAATTCCCTAGCTGAAAGAAAACTTGATCGCAAAAACCGAATTCACTCAATCAGAACAGGTCGCAAACATGTTTCGGCAAGGCGGGAAACCCGTCAAGCCTTCATCAGTGCTTCTGAACACAAAGAGATTCAACAGCTAGGCATAGGCTAAGTAATCAACCTACACCGCGAACAGAATTCAAGGTTCCCATCTACCCAGATTGCCTAACAATGGGCATTCGCCAACACAGCACTGGGTAAAAACCCAAGGTTACAAGTGTCAGCCTTCCGTGGTGTCTTCGTCAGGGCTATCGATAAGCCTTGGAACCTTCGCTCGCACGAGTAACTTTTGCAAGTTACATGCACACCTCCATGCAATGTAAATATTCCCCATATGAAAACCGCGTGAACTGAGACGATTTTTGAGGCGCCTCAAAAGGACCCCCAGCCTGAGACTAGCTGTCACCGGAGTGAACAGTGTCTTCAAGACCAGGGGGCCGCGTTCGGGGGGGGAAGAAAGTCGGTGTGCTTGGCGAGCTTCGGTTTGCTCCAGAAGGAGCGAGCGTTGCTTGAAGAGAACACTGTGGAAAATGGGTGTGAGAAAGTCAGCAAGGTAGCCCCGATCTTTAAGTCGCCGGAAGAAGGCGCGTTTAGAAGCTAGAAAGGTTGGGGCAGATGTCGAGCGCAAAAGGTACCGCTTCAGTTCAGCCCTTACAAAACCCGTCTTGCAGTGTCGGGGGTGGAATGAGGAAAAAGGCAGGTACAGGTACCGGTTCATAGGTTTCTGAAAAGTTTTCAGATCCAGGGTACCCCGTTCGGCGAACCGTGGTCCCTTGAAGATGACCAAGTCGAGAAAATCAGCCGAACTGTCTGAGATCTGCCACGTGAGCTTGATATTGGGGTCAAGCGAGTTGAAAGTGTCCAGGTACTCCTCCAACTCCGCCCTTGATCCGGGCCAGATGATCAGCCCATCGTCGATGTAGCGTACGTGGCACAACGGGATCGTCCCAGACCACCTCCTTGTCAGCATCTCGTCCAGCCAGCTCATAAAAAGCACAGCAAAGCAGACAGCCGCGGGAGTTCCCATGGCAGTCCCTTGCGTTTGGCGAAAAATTCGGCTGTCGAACTCCACGTAGGAGTTCATCATGACCCACTCCAGCAGGGCCATGACTGGAAGAGCATTTGGTTGTCTCCCTTGATGAAGTAAGCCGCTGATCGCATCGAGTCCTCGCCGTAGTGGGATGCTGGGGTAGAGCGAAGTCACATCGTACGTAGCCAGAAGAATTCCTTTAGGAAAAGCAGTTTTCTCTAGCATGAGCAGCAGTGAAAGGGAGTCGCGTAGGTAAGTCGCTTGTTTCAGAACCATCGGCCGTAGCTCCGCATCCAACCATCGGCTAACATTAGAAGTCACCCATGAATGCGAAGCAGCTATGGGCCGCCCCGCGAGTTTCTTCTTATGTAGCTTCGGAAGAATGTAGAACGCCGCTGGTCGCCAACCTCCGCGAGGTTTGTCAAAGAAAAATCTCCACAGACTCTCTGGAAAAGCAGGTCCCCATACACTTTTCAGATCACGCAGTCTCTGCACGACTTCGACGGTGGGATTGTGGAAACACGGGGCGTAGGTGGCCGCATCATCGAGATGATCAAGACAGAGGCGGGTGTAGGTGCTCCGGTCCATCACGGTTATCCCCACGTTCTTGTCAGCAGGTTTCACTACCACGTTTCGATCCGTAGCAATGGAGCGCAACGCCCGTTGAACACCGCTCGAAATGTTTCGGTGTCGAATGGGGCGAGCAGCCTTCAGCAGGATGGACAGGTCAGCCGACGAGTCCCTGAAGACCTGCTCCGGAATGTCAATCCGATCGGGCAGCCATCCGGGGTTCCGTACACGAAATCTCTGGTTCCCCTTCAAACCTCCCGAATCCTTGAAGAAAAAATGAAGCGAAATCTGGCGCAGAAGCGTGTCAAGCTCCACATCGCCAGAAAGGGAAGCGGCAGGTGTTGGAATGAACTTCAAACCCAACCCAAGCCCTTTCTTCTCATCCGAAGACAAGATTTTAGAGCTGAGGTTGTGAACTCCCCGGTTCCGGATTCGTGCCGACACCTGTCGCACTGTCAGCCGTCCGAACCAGCGGAGTGCCAAATCATGGCTTGTTAGTTCTTGTGCGGCCCTTTGCCGGGGCCGCCTCCGCCGTTTTTTGATCCCTTGGCTTTAACATCCGCTGCTTTGCCTTTCGCTCGCTGGTCCTTGGTGGTGCCATCCGTCTTCTTCTTACCCCCGCGCTTCTTCTTAGGCTTGGAATTCCCGGCCGTACTCCCTGAGTGGCGCTCCGCGTACGGAGTAGTGTGCATCGGCTTTCCGGCAACGGTATTCTTCGGCTTCGTATCAGCAGCAGTGGCCTGGGGGGGATCCTGTTTCCCCAAGGAAAGATTTTTCAGCAGCTTTTTCATCAGACTGGCCTCAAGTTTCGGAATCATCTCCCTCCGAATCCTGTCTTCAATCTGCTTCGCATGGTGTTTCATTATCTCTCCGACACCAGCTTCAACCTCCATTTCCTGCACCTCCTCGGACGCAGCTGCTTTCTTCAACTCTTCGGCGGCGGCCTTGTTCTATCGATCGAGCTCGCGGATGACGATCTCATCCTTTGCAGCCACAATGTCGGAGTTGGCCTTTTCAATGCATCGACCCTTGAGTAAACGGTACCTCTCCTTGGCAGCGTCAGACACCACCAGATCGGGGTCAGCACTAAGGCCTTTGATATACTCCTCCATTTTTGAAGCCAGAGCGACGACATGCGAGTCCACCGCCTTCTGAATCTCCTCAATCTCTAGTGCTTTTGAAGCGATAAAATCAGCCTGCAGCCGCTTTTGATTCGCCAGGTGAATCTCTGCAACGGACGCGGCCGATTTCTCCTTTACGGAGGCAAATTTCGTTTGGAATTCGACGGCCTTTGTGCGGATGCTGTGAAGCACCACGCCTTGACGATCCAAATCCTTCATCTTCTTGAATTTGCTTTTCGTCTTAAGCAGGTTCTTGAAGTCGTCGCGGAAGCCCTTAACAGCCAGCGAAGTCCACCCCTTGAAAGGTTCAGGGATTGGAGTGTTGTCAGCCGGGTCCGGCATAACGATGCGTGGACGACTCTCAGAAGGTCCAGGGAGAGGATTGTCAGCTTGCTTGTTTGATGTCGAGGGCTCGAGTGTCAACGCCAAAGGTGGAATTCTTGAACGCGATCCGGATCCCTGAAGAGATTTCCTTTTGCCGCGCTTAGATCCTCCCTCTCCTCGAACCCTCTTAACCGAACTGCGATTCCCTGCACCGGCCTCTTCCTCGTCGGATGGATTCCAATCGAAGTCCCACGGGTCGTTGTCACTCATGGTGGAAGGGAAGCAGTGCTAGTGAAACGTTTTAGCAAGTAAGAAAGAGAGTAAAAATTCCCTAGCTGAAAGAAAACTTGATCGCAAAAACCGAATTCACTCAATCAGAACAGGTCGCAAACATGTTTCGGCAAGGCGGGAAACCCGTCAAGCCTTCATCAGTGCTTCTGAACACAAAGAGATTCAACAGCTAGGCATAGGCTAAGTAATCAACCTACACCGCGAACAGAATTCAAGGTTCCCATCTACCCAGATTGCCTAACAATGGGCATTCGCCAACACAGCACTGGGTAAAAACCCAAGGTTACAAGTGTCAGCCTTCCGTGGTGTCTTCGTCAGGGCTATCGATAAGCCTTGGAACCTTCGCTCGCACGAGTAACTTTTGCAAGTTACATGCACACCTCCATGCAATGTAAATATTCCCCATATGAAAACCGCGTGAACTGAGACGATTTTTGAGGCGCCTCAAAAAAAGCAAGTCAGGATATAACCCATGTGGTACACGCCTCCAAAGGACCTTCAAGCACCCAAAAATACTCGCACCGGCATTGTCCCACATCTCAGTGGAAGTTGGTGGTGATGACCATGGTGGTGATGACCTTGGTGGTGATGACCTTGGTGGTGATGACCATGGTGGTGATGACCATGGTGGTGATGGCCATGGTGGTGATGACCATGGTGGTGATGACCATGGTGGGGATGACCATGGTGGTGATGACCATGGTGGTGATGACCTTGGTGGTGATGACCATGGTGGTGATGATCATGGTGGTGATGACCTTGGTGGTGATGACCATGGTGGTGATGACCTTGGTGGTGATGACCATGGTGGTGATGACCATGGTGGTGATGACCTTGGTGGATGACCTTGGTGGTGATGACCTTGGTCCGTCCGTCTACACATTTGAGAATTCTCAATGGTGTTTGCCCACCTCACTGTGAAAGCCAGCTGTGTTGGCTTGACGCACCTCTCTGTGGAAGTCAGCGGTGATGACTTTGGCGCGCTTCACGGCCCACAGCGTGGTGCCATCCTCGGGGCACACCCCGCGGTACACGTCTCCGTATGACCCCGACCCAAGCAGGCAGTCCTTGGACCAGTTGTTGGTTGCACGAGCCACCACGGTCAGCGAGTACCGCCGGCACGGTGTGGTTGCGTTCCCTAGTTGCGGGCTGGGGGAGTCTGTTGAAAATATGTATAATATGGTTTTTTTTTGTTTTCTTTTTTTTTGGTTTCGCTTTGTGAGAAGTAACACAGGCAGGAACACAGCGGCTTTGCGAGTTATGTTAAACGAAGTTATGGAGTTGATATGCTGCTTGTTGCTGAAATTGACAGAATTGAGGTGGTTCTCACACACCTGTCTGTGCTCCCATGATGCAACGCAAACACGTAACATGCCTACCTCTTGTGGAAATCTTGTAGTGGACGGCAAGCCACCAAGCTAAGGCGAGCAGGAGAAGCAAGAGCAGAACGGCTGCTGTCACAACGCCAATGACAGCCCCCACTGACAGACCGGATTGGGATGAGGGAGCGAGTGAGGTGGAGGAGGGTGAGGAGGAGGAGGAGGAGGATGCGTTGAGGGGTTGATTGGGTGATGGGGACGGTGGAGGGGAGGCCACGAGTGGTGATGGGGGTGGGGCTGCTTTGGAGGGACACATGCACCGGCACACCAGACTCACAAGTATTGAAGCACCAGAACCATAAGTATCGAAGCACCAGAATTATAAGAGCGTGTTCCTACGGCCTCTAGTCAGGCTGGCCTCTTGTCAGACTCGCCTCAAACACTAATATTTCGGCTTAACCCTACTTTTAATTTATTTCTTTCCGTTGCTTGGCGAAGTGCGCGACACAATGAGTGGGGTGACGTGGCACTGCGCAGCGCTCCCGTTCCGAAAGGTTGCAAAGGTACAATTGTTTCCTGAGTCCTGACAAATCACAAACGACCGAAACGAGCGCTTGGTGGCTGTAAAAGCTTCGTGTGCTTCATACCCGATAAAACGGGGTTCTTTCTCCCTTGCGAGTAAGTCCCTGGTTCTCACGTGTGAGAAAAATCTTCGCGCGAATAACTGACCTGGCTCGCCGAAACAGCATGTGTGATAGGTTTCGCGTGACCAATTCATCGCGCAGCACCGTTTGTTTTGAAGTCTGAAAAACGGTGTTAATAACGAAATCGCTCGAATGACCAAGTCTGACAAGGGCACAGCCTGACTAGAGGCCGTAGGAACACGCTCTAAGTATTGAAGCACCAACGCACAAGTGGTGAAAATAATGACCGTGCTCTGCACGCATGAAACTGGAAGGCACGAATGGAATAACAGGCGCAACTTGGCGTTGCCCAGCACAAGTTCGCCTTGACTGGCACACCTTAGCATTGACTGGCATGACTTAGCTTTATTGGCTGGCATACCTTAGCATTACTTAGTGGGGTTGGCATTGGCTGGCTGGCATGACTTTGCATTAATTAATGGGGATGGCATTGAATGGCATGACTTAGCATTGATGAGTGGGGATGGCATTGGCTCTCATGACTTACTTAGCATCAATTAGTGGGGTTGGTTGGCATTGGCTGGTATGACTTAGCAATAATTAGTGAGACTTGGTATTAACTGGCACGACTTATGCGTTGACTAAAAAGACTTATCCTTGATAGCAAAGGCTAGTTCTATTGACTGAAAAGTGTGCAGATAATCAGCTACCCCATGAGCATGGAATGTAACGCATTGACCGTGACAATTTCTTTTACTCGCAACGATCCAAGCAGCTCACCTTTGTTTTGACTTGCACATGTGGTAAACAAGCTTTCATAGTCATAGGAGAAGCACCCGTTGGTTCGACTCAACAGTCACCTCCGTGCCCCAAGCATCTCACCTGCACCTCTTCTAAACTCGAGGCACAGGTATATATTGAGGCGCCTTACATGTCACCTGTACATGTATCACAGAGGCTCGTGCAGCCACAGCGGATTCTGAGAATTCTCAGAAACTGCAATGTCTCAATTGGAAAACTCACATTTATCACTTGTGCACGTGGCACAGAAAGCCTTGCAGTCTTGGCAGAAGGCGCTGTAGTTGATCTGCCGAACCACACAGCTGGAAGCATCCGGGGGGCAAGTAAGGCCAGAATCTGACATTTCACTGTTGGATTGAAGGGAATGGTGGATGGAGGGGGTGAAAGAGGACGGAGGGTTATCAAACGCATCATACAGGAGTGCCAAGGCATGATGAGAACATGGGAAAAGGACATCAGATCTGTATGATGTGTATTATGCGTCTCACATGTGTCTTATGCATCTCACATGTGTCTTATGCGTCTCACATGTGTCTTATGTGTCTCACGTGTGTCTTATGCGTCTCAAATGTGTCTTATGCGTCTCACATGTGTCTTATGCGTCTCACATGTGTCTTATGCGTCTCACATGTATCTTATGCAGGTGAGATGCATGCCCTCAATGAAAAAGGGAAAGCAAGTGGATATGATGGTGCACGAGGGCATGGTGGTTCAAGAGGGCATGATGGTGCAAGAGGACATAATGGTGCAAGAGGACATAATGGTGCAAGAGGACATAATGGTGCAAGAGGACATAATGGTGCAAGAGGACATAATGGTGCAAGAGGACATAATGGTGCAAGAGGACATAATGGTGCAAGAGGACATAATGGTGCAAGAGGACATAATGGTGCAAGAGGACATAATGGTGCAAGAGGACATAATGGTGCAAGAGGACATAATGGTGCAAGAGGACATGATGGTGCAGTGCAGACTCCGCCTGAACAAGGGGTCAAGCTGAGCCGGGGTTGCCAGGGTTAAGAGAAAACCACTTTATATAATGTTTTTTTTTTTTTTTAATTACTTTTACCTTTCTTTTGTTGTTTTTGGCATGCCGGGATGCTCTAAATGCAAAGATATTAAGCAAATATACTTTGGCTCTGGTAAGTTATGGAATTAACTAGCAGCAAATATAAGGTTGCATCCTGCGCAGGACACCATCCGAGGTTTGGACACCTTGAGCAATATCTCATGCTGTTTACCTACTCTTTGTAATATAACCTGACCTAGACACCACAACATGAAATTCACAACGTGAGTTATACACTCGAGCTGCTGGATGATGTGAGTTCACCGCACGCAACGTGTCAGGGGGTTGAGAAAACACAGCTGACTGAGTACACCCAATACATCGAGACTACGTAGCATGCTCTTGCGTAGGATTCGTTCGAGCATTCAGCCAACCTTTCAAACTAAGAGGTAACTGGAAATCTAGTTCTTTATTCGAGAAGAAAATGTCTGCTGCACAAGCTGGAATTCCTTGGATGGTATCCCTGCACAGGAATGCAATTTACGCAGGTCACTCACAGAAAGATGAGGCCTTTAGAGCCGCCAAGAGCAGCAGGCACGGGGCCTGAGAAATTGTTGTCACTGAGGTATCTGCAATACAATGGACGCGCAACCACACACCATCGGAGACGATGGAAGGAGCCGCACGAATGTAGTGAAAGGCATGTGCGAATGGGCGGATGTGGTGAGGAGGAGCAATATGACAGCAAACAAACCCTAATCCGGCAATCAACAGCGACAGCACGATGAGCTCCATTGGTGGGCGGCGCCTTTTGGGACGTCTCGAGAAACAATAGTGACAACACGATGAGCCCGCGCCCCCACATTCCCAAAGACAGTCCGTAGGCCGTTTCCAGGAAGGGTGGGGGGAAGAGGAGGGTGGGGAGACAGAAATGCGTGGGAAGGATATGGGTGGTGCACAGAGCATCATACTCACAACCTCATAGGTGCAGGTAAGTTGCACGCAAGATTGCAAGGAACGCATGGGTTATTTGCAGCAGAGCAGCACAGACCACACTGGCAATGTCATGGACCGGCGTGATACAATGAATCCCGTGCATGTATCACACCACCCACTGCTTCCTTCTTATATAGCATGTCTCCTAGAGGAACAACGGGGGTAGTGCGCATGTCACTAGCACAGCCGCAGATTGAAAATAGTCAGAATTTTTGCAATAGCAGAGTGAACCGTTTTCGAGGCGTCTCAAGAGGAACCTGTACAAGGCGTCTCAAGAGGAACCTGTACAAGAGCAGAGAGAATCATGAGATAAGCTGATGAGAATCTGGGTGCCTCATCATCATCACCCAGCAACCAATCTGCCAACTAGTGTGCCAATGGATGGGTTAATTCGTGTGCAAATCACATGTTCGAGATAGGATTCATTCTCAACGTTTGTACTTGTACTTCTTTATCCAAGTTAGGTGTAGCTGTTTTCATTGGTTATGTAATCAGTTGGAATCTCCAACCCACCATTTCTGGATATAGCTGCCTGAGAATGAGAAAACATAGACATCAATTTCATGGACGCTTCCTCGCGACATTTCTACGAGCACACATCAAGGAAACTGTTTACATGGCTGGCCTGATGAAATTATTTTTGCGCGAGAATTTCCCAAGCAAGCTCCTTGCAAACGGCACAAGCTCAATGTTGGAGTAGGCTAGAGCTCGCACTGATATTAATCATGCTGTTACCTTGTTATTCCGCCATGTTTAGAGCAAGTTACACTTTAAGGTTCGGTTTATGTTCATTTCACAGGTTCTGGCAGAAAATGAACACACATCAAGTTTGATTAGGGTTTTCCAACTTCCTTACTCGAATGTACCTTGACACTTTTCTCGATATACTTTCTTCTCTCTTAATCATGGCTACGAAGCATCAATTTCTAACAGTGAGAATTCTCCTCCTCTCATAGGACTATCACCCTTTTTCCTCGGACCGAGCCTCTTCAACTGAGAAAGCTTTCATTAAGTTGGTCTTGAGCAAGGCTCCCCTGCTAAAGGACATTACTTCAAGCACTACCAAAAAATGGAGATCACCCATAACCGCTAGGCTTGCTTGCACCATCACGCTCTCCCTAGAGTTTCTCATTGACGATGCTCTCATCACTTTCTTCAGATGGGATTGCTGTGCACACCCATACTCATTCCACTCCCTCTCTACACCTACTGAATTCGAGTTGACTTTTGAGTCGACTCAAAAGTCAACAAGCCCATACTCATTCCACTCCCTCTCTACACCTACTGAATTCGAGTTGACTTTTGAGTCGACTCAAAAGTCAACAAGCCCATACTCATTCCACTCCCTCTCTACACCTACTGACTTCTCTAGCTACACCCTCAGCCGAGGTGTGCTCCGAGTCCTATCCTGAGCTGGTCGGGTCCCACATGTAAGCCATGATGTGTACCCCATCTGACGTGGCATATCACGTGAATATCCCAATGACCTCACACGACCATACATGCGACCCACGCCTCACGGCCCCATGCACCCACACACCCACACACTCATCTTCCCATGCACCCATGCACCCCCATGCATACAATAAAACCATGTATCCGTATCCCCATAAACCCATGCATCCACGTCCTCATGCATCCACACATGCATCCACACATGCATCCACGTCCCTATGTGTCCACACATGCATCCATAAACACATCGGTAGATCCATGTCCCCATGCATGCACCCATGCATCCACGTCCCATGCATGTATCCACGCTTCCATGTCCCCATGCACCCATGTGCCCCTGCTACCTCGTGAATTGTGACTCACAGCTGAAACAGGCCAGAGAGGCGCGAGAGGGTGGTGGGGAGAGTGCCGGTCAAGTGATTGTTGGAAAGATCCCTGCGAGCTCATGGAATGCAGTGACAGACAGCGCACACGGTGATGGCGTTTCTCCCGTGATAAGAAGGTACAATCGACAGAACTGCAGGCATGGATTGCACAGTGTTGGAACGGGATGTTGTGGAGGTACGAGAGGGAGGGGGGACGTATTGGAAACAACACTGAGAATCAAACAGATTTGAAGATTGGTTGAAGACTATTGGAGGTGGGAATCCAGATTGGACAAGTCATTGAGCGATCTCACAATTTCCGAATGTACTTCATGTTGCCGATGCCCTCGGGGATGGTTCCCTCGAGCTGGTTGTCTGACAAGTCCCTGCCACACACTCGTCAGCCTTGTCAGCCACACCACATCATAGTGACTTTTGAGTCAACTCAAAAGGTTCTGTCTAGCTGGTTGTCAGATAAGTCCCTCCACCGCACTCGTCAGCAACGTCAGTCACATCATCAATCATCGGCTGTTCGTTCCTACTGCACGAAACGAGGGGAGCGAAGGGGAAGTGGCACTCTGCACTGCACGGCACGACAGATACTCTTATGAAACAGGAGCAGGAGCAGAGGTGGGGAGGTTTTGGGAGCATGCATGTGATGCTGCCCCTCTGGTCATGTGCTACTGTGAGAAGAGAAACAAATTCTGAAGCGCCTAACACGAGAAAATATAGTGTCAAAAAGTGTGCTGCTGCCCCTCTTCCCTCCCTGCATCAGCTGCAAGGTTAACCTGCAGTGAGAGGGTGGCGTTGAAAGAAAATACATACTGACAGGCTGTGTTTGAGACTAGGCAAGAGCAAATAACCAAACCGAACCAGTTCTGGTTTTAGGCTCTCGAACTCGAACCAGTTTGCCAGTTTGCCAGTTCGAGGTTCGACCCTTATGTTATGGGTCGAACCGAGCCAACTTGAACCGAACCAGAGCCGCTTCGGTAAGAATTTGTCCGGGTTCGGTGCGACCAGAACTTTCATAACAAAAATACTTAGCTACGATTGTGGTTCCAGCCTTAAAGCACGCATCCTTCTAGAGAATATTTGGCAGATACATACACCTAACCTGCCGTGGCAAAAAGGAGAAAAAACAACAGCAAGGGTTCGGATTGTTGCGCATGCCTATTTGAGACGTGTCATGTGAGATTTATTTGACAGCTCTCAGAAGTCTCAAAGCCTGCCTATGGTGAGGGGTTTCGACAATGGAGGTACTGCCACGCTGCTGAGCTTGTGAGGCTGCTGATGGGCTGGCACAGCAGATAAGCTCTTGCAATGGTTAGGCGCCCCCAAAGCAGCATGATCTGCAAGGGCAGCTGGTGGTGAGAGACTGACAGGCTGCTGAGCTTGGTGAGGCTGCCTATGGACTCGGGAATGCTGCCTGACAGGTTGTTCTTCCACACAGAGCTGTTGCATGCAGTGAGGGGTGCACAGGGGCGGATAGGGGTGCACAGGGGCAGACAGGGTGCCGGAGGGTTGGATGGGGGTGCGCGAGTGAGAGGTGTGGGACAAGGGATGGGGTGCAGTGATGGATAGGGCAGGGCAGGGATGAGCGTAGACTGGACATGTTATTTTCACTAACTATTGGAAATGGAAACCAGCCACGGAGAAGACAGGTTGTTCTTCCACACAGAGCTGTTGCATGCAGTGAGGGGTGCACAGGGGCGGATAGGGGTGCACAGGGGCGGACAGGGTGCCGGAGGGTTGGATGGGGGTGCGCGAGTGAGAGGTGTGGGACAAGGGATGGGGTGCAGTGATGGATAGGGCAGGGCAGGAGGGATGAGCGTAGACTGGACATGTTATTTTCACTAACTATTGGAAATGGAAACCAGCCACGGAGAAGACAGGGAGGTTGGTGAAGAATGAGGCTGGGGAGTAGGCTAACCAGAAATAGAAAAGCTGGAGCTAAACTATGAGCTTCAGATTTTCATCGCGTGCCCATACAAGCACCCTCGCAAAATTTGACGCAAGGCTTGCGTCAGGTGGCGGCACTTCAAGGCGAACCGGCCCGATTCATCATTTGACAAGCCCCAAAAACGTTGAACTGCCAATTCGCTGGATTAAACCCGGTTTGGCCCGACCCGGGTCAACCTGCTGAAATTCCCTGTCCAGCCGCGGACAAAGTCAAACCAACTCGACTCGGGCCGGACTGGGCTCGCCTGCCTGTCCATGCCTAGGATAGGGTGCAGTGATGGACAGGGATCGGTATAAATAAGTGGGTAGGGATAGGGTGCAGTAGGGATAGGGTGCAGTAGGGATAGGGTGCAGTAGGGATAGGGTGCAGGTGCAGACTGGATGATAGGCATGAGTGGGATGTGATGGCTCGAGTGCATGTGATGGCATGAGTGCATGTGATGGCATGAGTGCATGTGATGGCATGAGTGCATGTGATGGCATGAGTGCATGTAATGGCATGAGTGCACGTGATGGCATGAGTGCATGTGATGGCATGAGTGCATGTGATGGCATGAGTGCATGTGATGGCATGAGTGCATGTGATGGCATGAGTGCATGTAATGGCATGAGGACATGTGATGGCTTGGGTGCATGTGAATTCATGGCATGTGATGGCATGAGCGCATGTGATGGCATGAGCGCATGTGATGTCATGGCATGCGATAGCATGAGCACATGTGATGGCATGAGTGCATGTGATGGTATGAGTACATGTGATGGTATGATGAGTACATGTGATGGTATGAGTGCATGTGATGGTATGAGTACATGTGAAGGCATGGCATGTGATAGCATGAGGACATGAAGGGGTCGGACAAATTAAAGGGGCTTGAAGTTTGATGGTTCACAAAACATGAAGACCGATGGTTTACAAAACTTGACGATTCATGAGTTACAAAACCAGAAGGTTGGTGGCTTTACAAGACTTCAAGGTGGATGGTGCTGCCAATGGACTCTGGTATGCTGCCACTGATGCTGTTGTGCGCGGCCTCTCTGCAACAAGCCACACATGCACAATGACGTAAGTGGAATGGACAGTTGCACAAGGACAAGGGGCACAGTTGCACAATATGGGTGAACACAGATTCTGATGCGCACAGTTGCTCCCCATTTACCAAGAACACCAAGTCAATGCTGAGGAGTACATATATTGGGCTGGGCACATTGTTGCTCTTTGCATAAATAAGGGGGGATGGAGGTGTAAGACGAATCTAGAAGGGATGGAAGGCATCAGGGGACTAGTGGGGAAGTCCTAAGGGGTTTCATCCGAACCGAGGAAAAACTGGATGGATTAGGTTGGATAAGTTGGGGATGAAACACTTTACACCTAACCAACCTACACTAGCTTCATAAAAGGACGCTGGAACACAGAATCCAAGTGTAACAAATATGCCGCTTATCTTCCACAAGTGATACATTGGGGGGGGGTGGAGCACGGCTGGGAGGGGACTATTTCTGAGGCGCCTCAAAAACAGAATCCAAGTCTAATGGATGTGCAGGCTGCAGCTTCTCTTCAACGAGAGATACATTGGGGGGGTGTGGAGCACGGCCAGGAGGGGAAAAGGACGCTAATATCTTTGTCTGTGACCATGGGTGAGTGAAAAAGAGCACAGATAATCATACAATCTTCTGAGATTGGTGCGACCCGATATCCAGGATGGGAAGGGACCTGACAGACTCATATAGCTGAGGTATCTGCACACACATATGTAGCATCACACACATATGTAGCATCACACACATATGTAGCATCACACACATATGTAGCATCACACACATATGTAGCATCACACACACACACACTCACACACACACACACACACACACACACACTCACACACACACACACACACACAAACACACACACACACTCACACACACACAAACACACACACACATGCACGCACGCACACACCCGCGCGCATGGACACAAACGCACACATAATGCACACACGACGCACACACAACACACACACTCACACACATCCACACTCGCATGTGCGCAAGCGCACACCCATGCATGCACGCAAACACACACGCACATATCCACGCACTCACACACCCACACATGACACACATGGCACGCGTGCACACATACACACACATACACCAGCGAAGATGCACACACACAATTACGGATCATCACCTTCACAGAAAGGGGAACTTTACGGGCAGTCAATGGTGAGTCAAAGTGGAATGTGGTGAGAGGGGAAACAGAGGCTCACTCACAGAGATTGCAGCTTGGTGAGGCGCTGCATCTGGAGGGGAATGGAGCCCGTGACTTTGATGTTTAAGCTGAGGTCTCTGTTGACACACCATCACCATGCCATGCCATGTGGGCACACCATCCATCACCATGCAATGCCACGTGGACACACGATCACCATCAAATGCCATGTGGACACACCATCACCATGTCATGCCATGTGGGCACACCATCAGCATACCATCCCCTGCCATGGTTTGTGGCGGAGTTACCAATGAAGCATCCAACATTTCGGATGCTAGCTTCTGGACGCTGCACTCTAGTTTAGGTGGGTCAAGAACCGTTGGTCTGACACTAGGTCAGGCAGGCTAAAAAATAACCCGGGCACGGGAAAACGCAATGGGAGAGTTGGGGGGAAGGGAGAGGGGGGTGCAGGGGCAAAATGGGGGGCATAAAGCATGGGGAATTCGGAATACGGTGTGCATAAACGTCAAGGGGCAAAGGACGGTGTGCATAAGAGCTGATCGGAAGAAGAGGAGAATGGAGACGACATGCATGAGCAAGGGCCTGGCTCAGAGCACACCCAGAGGTGACGGTGCAGACGCAGCCAGCCATTGGCTCTGCACCATCAACGGGCCACCATGGGCTCTGAATAATCAACGGCCCACCATGGGCTCTGAATAATCAACGGCCCACCATGGGCTCTGCATAATCAATGGCCCACCATGGGCTCTGCATAATCAACGGCCCACCATGGGCTCTGCATAATCAACGGCCCACCATGGGCTCTGCATAATCAACGGCCCACCATGGGCTCTGCATAATCAACGGCCCACCATGGGCTCTGCAAAATCAACGGCCCACCATTGGCTCTGCATAACCAGCGACCCACCATGGGCTCTGCAACTGCAAGCAGTCGAGTGGTTGAAGTGTTGGGATCAGTGTGGATCAGGGCGCGCCTGTGTTGGCCAGGCTGAGAGTGAATGTCGCCTACTTACAGGTGTGAGAGGGCAGCCAGATGAGAGATTGCTGCGGGAATGGAGCCTGACAGCCGATTCCAGCGGAGCTCTCTGCCATGCGTGTCATGGTGTCATGCACGCGGTATCAAGCACACGGTTTCAGCACACGGTGTAAAGCACAGGGCACAGATGGGGATGGAAATAACAAGAAATGTGAACTGTGGGCTCAGTGTGAGATGATAGAAGTGGTATGGAACGACGGTTTAAGAGGGTGGGTGAGAGAAGGCAACTCAAACCACTTCTTCTTCCATTATTTATTCAGCTCAACCTTCATGCACAGGCGCAACACGTTCTCTTTCTCATCAGGGGGCATTGCATTCTCAGAGCAGCTGCTTCTGCGTAAAGCACCACATTTGTTTTCACCACTTGGCAGAACTTTTTCGTGAAAAAGAGCTGGGAATTCCCTGGTGAGGTGAGGGACTTAGGCTTATCCAAAAGAACAGACTCAATCACGGCTGGTGACACAAGCCATCGCCACGTTCCCAGGCGTTTGACTCGTTTGTTATGAGAGAGCCCACCCGAGGACCCACCAGGCAATGAACCACCCTAGGCTTGTGACTCGGCCCTCAATAATGAAAATGCGTGAACAGAAAAGGGAGGCTAGTCGAAGAATGACAAGGGCGGAGGAGTGGGTGAAGCCTGGGCTATGGGTACTGTGTTTCGGTTCAGGGGTCCCTAGATGTGCACCACTCAAACGGGAACAGGAACTAGATAGGTGGACTAGAAGAGTGGACTCACAACAAGGCAAGTTTGGTGAGTTGGAAGATGGATGAAGGGATTGTGCCGGTGAGTCTGTTACCGCCAAGAGACCTACACAGCATATGGGGAGCAAGGAACGACAAGCAAGGCACAAGGCACAAGTGATGAATCTCCTTCGCTGCCTGCCATGGTTAATGACAAAAGCGTGTGTCTCCTGGCTGACCCCATTACCCTTGATTGACCTCTGTTTCGGTCCTGCCCATTCTATCAGGTCTGCGTGCCATGATACGATACGATACGATACAATACGATACGATACGATACGATATGATCTGATCTGATCTGATCTGATCTGATCTGATCTGGCACCATCTTCACTGGGATGTGAACCAGGCTAGGCACACCCATGAGCAAACCTGTGAGCAAACCTGTGAGCAAACCTGAAAGCACGCCATGAGCCCCTACTGGAATGGCTTGTTGAGGCCAGTGACAGCAAGAACCGCCCGCGTCGAAATCTCAAGCAACCATCACACCCTTGCTTGCCCCGCTCCTCCTGCCCCCACTATAACTACCCCACTAGTTCAGAACTCACTCAGGATTCTTGGATCCAGTCTAGTGAGAACACAATTGCCTCTATAGCAATGTCTTTGAGGCGCCTTAAAAGGGCAGTCCAGTGAGAGCAGTCCAGTGAGGGCAGTCCAGTGAGAGCAGTCCAGTGAGAGCAGTCCAGTGAGAGCAGTCCAGTGAGAGCAGTCCAGTGAGAGCAGTCCAGTGAGAGCACCATTGCCCATTTGGCAAGAATGCCAGCTCCATGAAGCTCTGTCCAGCCCAATGCCCCCTTTCAACTGGCGCTCTCACAGCTGGCAGGCATCACTAACATCGAAACCACCTCAGCCAGCCATGCGCCAAGGGAATGCAAGGAGGAAATCTGAGCCCGTGACGGTGACAACCAACACTCAGGTGAGGCGAGACCTTTACCAAGCCGGGCGCAGCCCCTCCTCGGCTGGATAGGTTAGGTTCGGCTCAAAGTGAGCTTTGGCTCGGCGGTAAAACTCGGTTCGGGCACGGTTTGGCTCGAAAGGGAGGTAGCTTGGCTTGCCCGGGTGCAAGCTGATACCATAGTATTGATACCATAGTATTGATACCATAGTATTGATACCATAGTATTGATACCATAGTATTGATACCATAGTATTGATACCATAGTATTGATACCATAGTATTGATACCATAGTATTGATACCATAGTATTGATACCAAGGCGATCTTTGAAATGTGATACCCCACTCCCACATAACATGGTTCAGAGCCAAGCCGCGCCCGAGCCATCCCACACACACCATAGTGCTGATACCAAGGTGATATTTGAAATGTGACATCCCACTCCCACTGTCCCACATAACATGGTTTGGAGGCAGAGACTGGGTGCTGGGGAGCTGCACGTAAGTAGCAAGGACTGAGCAATGGCTTGTCCCTGTCCTTATATGTTGTGCAGGGAGACACGTGCTTACAGGTAGGAAAGGAGAGAGAGGCGAGAAATTGCTGTTGGGATGGAGCCAGAGAACAAATTCCATCGAAGGTCCCTGCCATGTGTGCCCCACACAAGACGCACAGCACGGGTGAGTTATGAAACAAAATGAAGCATGGCGTTGGAAGGTCATTTTCGGTGGGAGTCAGGCTTGCATTTGGACGTGGGCACACAATTTCCGACACATTTCAGAGGGGTCGGGCAGTCCAACTGTCAGTCACTTTCGCCAAACCAGCAACACGCTCTATGTGCCTCACTGAATGACCCGCCCGTCTCATCTTATCCCAGCCTGCCTACTGGCCAAGTAGCCCTATGTCAAAAAGTGTAACGATTTCTTCAGCAATCAAACAGTGGACATATTAAGCTTCTGCGCACATATTCAACTTCTGTGACCACATTCAACCTTTGTGGACTCTAGGGCCGGGCACGAGGCACAATAAGCTAGGGAGGAAGGCCAGATTCCTGCTGGGGGGGTGATTGAACTCCACTTGGTGGCGCCCCCCCGGCCCCCAGGGTACTGTGATTTTCTAGGCGCCTCTTTAAGGCGCCTGAACCCCACCAGATTACTGTGACTTCTGAGGCGCCTGAAAAGGCCCCTGGCTCCCAGCCAGGGTACCGTGACTTGTTGGAGGAGGTCGTTGAAGGAACGCATCAAGTGACTATATCGCCTCTTTGATCGTACGTTTCTTCCCACTGCTGCCCTTCTTCATGAGCACTGCACTGACTGAACCGTGAATTGGACGTCCTCGAAGGAATCACACAGAAACACAGATCTGCAAAATGGCAGCGGTGGAGATACTCACAAGAAGGCGAGCCTGGTGAGGTGGAATATGGCCGAAGGGATTGTGCCCTCTAGCTTGTTGGTTCCAACATTCCTATTTAGACGCAACGTGGGGCACACGAGAAGCAGTTGATGCAGGCGTAAGGGCACAAGCAACAGAGACAGACAATTGCAGCAGAAACAGACCACTGCAACATTGGCTCACTCGGCATGAGCATGAGCAGCACGAATGCCTTTCTCTTTCCTGCTACCACTCGCTCTCATCTCGCGCTTTCCAGCATTGTGCATTGGCATTGCAGACTGGCTACTACTAGGGACGCCCATCCCATCAGGTTCGATTACTATGCTCGAAATGTTCTTTACGCTCCTCACCGCATTACGCTCACTCTGATTTGAGTGAGATCAGTGAGGATCTATAGCAAAGTAGAGCGTAATGCGGTGGGTATGAGCGTCATGATGCAGGAGGGGGTGGGGGTGGGTAGAGTCAGGGCAATGGCTCTTCTAATCTTGAGCTCTCAAAAGGTATCACATACAGAAAGAAACTTGGCAGTTATGGAGAATAGTTCTCACAACAAGGTGAGATTGGTGAGGCGGACGATGGATGAGGGCATTGCGCCACTGATTTTGTTCTTGTGAATAGATCTATCCAGGCACAACAAGGGGAGGGGCGTATGGGCAGCAAGTGGCGCGGGCACAAGGTTATAAGGAGCAGTGCACAAGCAACACAGAGACTAGGTGCGTCTCCTCCTCTATGGCGAATGCGTGCCGGTCAGGGCACAACAAGGTGTATACACGAGGTTATACAGAGCAGTGCACAAGCAACGCAGCAACAAGTTATGTTCTCCTCCATGCCAAATAGCTGTCATTCAGTGCACCCGGAGAATCTGGCATTTGCTCGATGTCGGATGTCACCAACGAGTAGAGTTGAGACCCCCAACATCTGGCGTTTCTAACCAGCCGCAAAGTCTTCAGCTGAGATGAAATTGACAGGACAAGCGTTTTGACGCTGACGTCAAAACGCTAGGGTCAAGAGTCAAGACCCTTGACGCCCTCTGAGTGAATCTGTTGACCCCGCCCCAATTTGACGCTCGGGCGGGCAGGCCAAAAAAAAACACGGGCTGGTAAAAAACTTGGAGATCAGGTGGGTGAGGAGAGGGGGAAGAGGTGGCACTCCTTCACCAGCTGAAGACTAGGGTCCACGCTAGGGTCAACCTAGGTTCAACACTAGCTAGGGTCATGTTATAGTCACAATAGGCTTGAATGTGCCTAAAACGAAAGATAGAGAGCACAGACGGATTTCTGCACAGCGGCTTCAAACGTTGATAGCGTTCTGCTCACAGCTGCAAATGACCTGATTCAAATTGGATCTGGAGCGTCTTCACGTCGTCTACAATTAGCAATTTAGATTGCACGATTTGATAAAGAATTGACGACACAGCGTCGGTTTGAACGAACGGTACTATGGCAGCCACTATAGTCTTAGAACACAAGATAGGAAGAGTTACGAGTTGGGAATGACTCCCAGCTCCTACAAACCCCAAGAGCCGAGGTACAGTGATGTGGAACAGTGCCACACTGTCCCCAACCACGAAGGGTCTCGAAACTACCCTTCACTAGGGCCTACACCAAGTGAAATGTTACACTACACAAAGTAATGTAACTATCTTCAATATCTTGAGGTGTACCCTTTTTTGGCGAGCTTCGAAATCACTTGAGGCTTGACACCAAGGCTCGGGCTCTTCATCACAAACTCATCCTTGAGTTCTTGATGGGTCTGCTGCACACACCTGCGACACGCCGAACGTTCGACACAGGACAAAATAGAAACCGCGCACGACAAAATAGAAACCGCGCGCGAGACACAAACGACCGCGTAACACGCGTCTAGCGATAACTCGCTATTGACTCGACACACACACTCGACATCATGACTCAACATTCACACACAATTATAAGCATGAAATATATATTATCCCATGCCCTCATACCATTCCATACACACACATATTCACGCACACGGACAACAAGCCGAGTGCAAACCGTAGGGTTGCACCAACAGGTCAACCTAGGTTCAACACTAGCTAGGGTCAGGTGGGTTTGTTTGGGAGCGTGTTTGGGGGATGAAAAGAGTCATGTTGGTTATGGGAGCGTGTTTGGGGGATGAAAAGAGTCATGTTGGTTAAGGGAGCGTGTTTTCAGCGCGGAAACACAACCTGGAAGAAAAAGTTCAAGTTTGTTTTTCAACGGGCCCAACCTTTTTTGGGTAAGTGGCTTCTTGCATGTGGTATGTATAGCATGGCATGGTCGATGGACAAGGTGAGACATGGAAGCTTACAGGATAGAGAGAACAGCCAGATCAGCAATGCCTTCTGGGATTGAGCCTGATAAACTATTGAAACTGAGAGTTCTGCCATGCCAGTCAGATGGGGAGAAAGAGGGGGAACAGATGCAATGTCATGTCATGTCACGGCATCTCGTGGCAGCACAGCACAGCAGCCAGAGCCAGAGCTCCAGTAGTGAGCTGATTGACTGTGAGCCTGCACCACCATCCATCCTACCATCACCATGTGCGTGTACTATGACCTTGTAAAGGAAGTTGAAACTCACCGGTACCATGCATGTACTCAACACACACCTCAGCTTCTAACGAACCCAGCGTTTAAAGAGTATTGAGGCGCCTCAAAAGTCCATCCTACCATCACCATGCGTGTCACGTGTGTACCATTATATGACCTTGTAAGGAAATTGTAACTCACCGCTAAGTCAGTGGATTTTCCTGTAGAATGGCCTACGTGCTACTCACAGTTATTGCAGCGCGCGCTCTCCACCTGTTCGCAGTCCCGGCCCCCCTCTCTCCCCCTTTTTTCTAGAGTTCTCAAAGTGAACTCGGTATGGGCACGCGACACGCACGGGGAGACGATGAAGCCAGCCGCATTGCAGCGCACGCCCTCCACCTGTGAGCAGTCCCGTCCCCCTCCTCACCCCCATAACCTCCCCCCCCCTCCGAACCCCCATAACCTCCCCCCCCCTCCGAACCCCCATAACCTCCCCCCCCCTCCGAACCCCTCCTGCCCACGCACAGGGAGACGATGAAGCCAGCCGCATTGCAGCGCACGCCCTCCACCTGTGCGCAGTCCCCCCCCTTGCTCCATCCGCGCAGCTGCGCCTGCCACTGCCCCTGACACTCCGCCAGCACCGCCGCTGCGGGGGACAGAAGCAGAGGGGAGGGGAAAGGAGGTGGGTTGGGAGGAGCAGGGGGGAGCAGAATTGTGAGGAGCAGGGGAGCAGGATTGGGAGGAGGAGGGGAGAGCAGGATTAGGAGGCGAAAAGCGGGAGGAGAGAAGGCACGGAGGAGAGGCGGCGGCAGTGGATGACGATGGATACACAGGCGGAGAGGGTAGCATGGGGAAGTACGCGGGTTGAAAAGCATTCACCAATGGCAGTGCGGCTTTTGGGGATAGGAAAGTTGTTTGAGAGTGTGGATTCCAGGGACGTGTTCTTTCCCCGGGCTTTCCTATCCCAAAGCACTGCTTGTCTGACCGTACTTCCCCATTGCTTTATAAAAGTGTGTGGAGTCAGGGAGAAAACACGCCCCTGAGTGTCGAGTGGGAAGCCTTGCTGAGGAAGCTGAGAGACGCAGCGGCGTGACCCACGCATCATTGAGAAAGACGCAAAAGAGTGAAAGGCTGGTGTGCGCGGATAGGCGGCGGAGTAGCGTAAAATGTACTGCGGGTTAGATTCCCGAAAGTAGTATTCGTACGTGCAAGGCAAGAGGCAGCACCGCGACCGACCTTGCGAGGGGTTGATTGTTACGACAGCCGAGGACGGTGAGGCGAGGGAGAGTATGGATGCGACGAGAAGAATGGCGACGCGACGCGACGTTGTCATTGCGGATGCATCTTGCATATTCTGACAGGGCATCGGTTGCTTCAATCAGAAAGTACTGCTGGGTGTCAAGCTTTCGTCCTCCGGGTGTACATTCTTGTACCCGAAACAACCAAAGTCAATGAGAAAAGCCCACGTTCGAAAACTACCCAACGAAATGTTCGTTTGGTGAACAAGATTCCACAGGTTAGACAGGCTACACGAACACCACATAACAAAGGAATATATTAGAGAGCGTAGCGATAACGAGAGAGTTTCTGCTATGAGAATTATGTTGCGCCAGCAACTTGGTAGAGTTTCGGTACAGTTTGCCTCTGAGGACTTAGTGAGGATTGAAGTAGCATTCAGGCCAAGTAGAATTGCAATATCAAATATATGAATACAAAAGTAAACACACAACTAGATATAGGCTACGGGAAGGTTTCACAAAGTTGGCGTGGCACTTCGCAGTAACCCAACCCCACGAAAGTGGTGTGTGGGTGAGCGAACTGTTAGAATGGTCTAAGCTACTAGCGGAAGCTATAGTAGTCTTAGAACCTCCTCCTAAAGCCTAGGAATCTTAGGAGCCAACTTGGGCATGAACCATGCTAGAACCAAAGTGGTTACCAAGAAGTGAAGTTCCAACAAGAGAGAACCCTAACCTATAGGGTTTGGGAGGTGGCCCACTCTATAGAGTGTACACCACAAGTTCTCCCAACCCAACCAATGTATTCTACACTACTATAGTGTAGATGTATCACTACATATGTTTATTGGAGCAACCCGAATTAACCTTAATTCCAACACGAACGCGCCTCGTCAACTTCCCAACCCAACTCAGCAGGGAAGTCAATGCCGAGCTCGCCAATTCTCCCAGCACAACTAGAAATGGCGAGACTCACAGAGAATCACCCACAACCACCAAGACCACCCAAGAAGCATGCCCACGATTTCCCTAGACTAACACCACCCCAGCAATGACTGTTTAGTGCTGCCGTTGTCACATCGCGTCACTACGCAACCATCGCCAAATCATAGGGTCGGTGCTGGAATGCTCGTCTTGGTCTTTCATAGTCGACCTGCCAAGTCAAACGGTCGTCGAGGGCCCTTGCTGTCGTAGGGCCCTCTAACACTCCCCTGCCATACTACAGCAAGGCCCTTTATAATCACAGGGCATGCATACACGCTTACACGCCAAAACAAAGGGAAACACACACAAACGAAGCACTCTCAAAGTGCAAACACGTACCGCACCAGCCATGGATAGGCCATGGCACCATCCACATCATGGAGTGTCTAGGTCTCACTCCCCTCGCTCGAGAGCCTCACCTGCCCCACAGCCTCGAAGCAACGACTGAAGGCGGGGAAATGCAATGCCTTCGTGAGGTAGTCAGCAGGCTGCTCGCTTGTAGGGATGTACTGCAGCTGCAGCTTCTTGCGCTTGACCATGTGCTGCAGCCACATGTGACGACGCTCCATGTGCTTGAGGCTCCCCTTGAGCCCCATGCCACCTGCCACTGAAATGGCAGAGGAGTTGTACACAAAGAGAGTAGTGGGCTCCTCACTCCTCAGCAGTTGAAACTCTGCCAGCAGGAAGCGCAGCCTGCGCGCCTCCTTCCCAGCCTCCACAGCAGCAACATACTCAGACTCAGTGGAGGAGAGGGTGGCGCAACGAATCCTCTGGCTCGCCCAAGAGACAACAGCACCCCCGAGCACGAAGATGTAGCCACCAGTGCTGGTCCTGTTCTGCTTGTCTCCCGCATCATCAGCATCGGCGTAGCCCACCAGCTCCAAGGACTCCGGCCCCCCACCAAACTCCAGCGCCACATCCCTGCTCCCCACCAAGTACGCCAAGCACCGGTCCAACTCCTTCCAGTGCTGATCACTCCGCACAGTCTGGCCCGACCCCAGCTTGCTGCAGGCGAACGAGATGTCGGGACGGGTGGTACAGGCCGCGAACTGCAAGGATCCTACCTTCTGCCTGTACTCCTCCTCCTGGCGAGACTGCCATCCCACATCCTCGAAGGTCTGCACACTGAAAGGGTCAGAGGAAAGAGGGGTGCGAGGCACTCGCAGCGGCTGCTCCCCGTCAAAGAAGCGCCTATGGACCTTGTCCACATAGGCCCCCTGGTGCAGCCACAGCCTCCTCGTAGGCCTGTCCCGAATCAGCTGCAACCCCAGATATTTCTCCACGGGGCTAATCTCCCGCAGCTGAAAGGCACTCTGCAGCAGGTCACGCAGTTCCCCTACCATGCTCTGAATGCGGCTGGCAGCAAGCAAGTCATCCACATACACCAGCAGCCAGCACATCTCCCCCTCAGCATCACTCTTGAAATACAGAGCCTCATCCACCTTACTCTTCTTCCATCCAGCCCCAAGCAGCACCCCATCCAAGGCCTCATACCATAGCATCAGGCTCTGCTTGAGCCCATACAGACTCTTCACCAACTTACAGACACGAGGAGTCCCATCCTCGTAGTAGCTCGGCTGCTCCATGTAAAGGTCTCGGTCCAGCATGCCATGGAGGAACGCGTTCTTCACATCCAGCTGCATCAGGTCCAAATCAAGTGCAGCTGCAATTGCCAGAAGCACACGTGCCGTCACATAGCTTCCTACAGGGGCGTACGTCTCCTCATAGTCCACCCCTGCCACCTGCGTGAACCCCTTCACCACCAGCCTCGCCTTCTCACGCTCCACTATCCCATCCGGTCGGAACTTGGTGTTCAAAATCCAACGGTTCTTCATCACATTCACCCCTGGCGGACGCGGAACCAACTTCCACGTCCCCTGCTCAATCAAGCTCCGCATCTCCTCATCCATCGCCTCCTTCACCTTGTCGCCCTTCCAGCAGCCTAAGGCCTCCTTCACTGTCATCTTCGCTATATCCCACTGCCTCTCAGGGTCAGCCACCACGTCAGGGTCCAGGTCTGTCCACTCCTCGTCCTCCTCCTCGTCATCTAATCCCGCTGGCTCAACCACTAAAGCCCAAGCATACTTAAGAGGCGGGATACCACGAGTGATGCGAGTGGAGTGACGCAGTGGCGCACTGCCAGGGACATGGTCTCATAAAACACAGCTTCCACAGTGGTGATGAGGCGGTTGGACTCCAAGTCCAGCACGGCCCAGCCCTTGCTCGCAGCTGACACACCCAAGTGCAACCCCCAGCGAGCCTTAGGCACCAGCTTCCCCCCACGCTGCGACTGTGGTACCATGTACTGCAGCATGCACCCCAAAACACGCACCATACTGACATCAGGTTTGCGTCGGAAGGCGAGCTCGTATGGCGTCACACCAGAGGGTAGTGAGGCGTGCTCCACGCGGTTGCGCACCCAGACGGCCTGCGCCAACGCCAGGTGCCACCAGTGATGCTGCACACCCATGTGCAGCAACATCGTCCGCACCGCCTCCACAATGCTGCGCATCTCCCTCTCGGCCATCCCGTTCTGCTCCGGCGTGTACGGGCATGTGAGGTCATGGATGATGCCTTTGCCGTCGAGGAAGAGCGTGAAGTCGTGCCCCAGGAACTCGCCACCCCGATCAGTGCGCAGCGCTTGCACCGTGGTCTTGCACTGTCGCTCTGCCATCGGGAGCCACTTCTGGAACGCCGCCAGCGCATCACTCTTCTGGGCCAAAGGGTAGGCCCAGACATATCGCGTCTTGCGATCCTTCAGCACCAAGAAGTAGCGGCTGCCGTCCTTAGCTGCTTCACGGAAAGGGCCACACAGGTCACCATGCACCACCCCGAGCAACTCATCCTCCTCCTCTCCCACAGAAGGAAAGGTATGACGAGTGATCTTTCCCCCAACACAGGAGACACAAGGTATGCCTGACTTGCCCCCCTTCTCCAAATCCAAGCCCTTCACTGACCCGTGAGCTTGATGGCATCAATACCAACGTGTGCCATACGCGCATGCCACAGGTCCCCCTTAGGCCGCACGCCCGTCGCCAAGGTACGAAGTGCCACCGTTTCGCCTTCCTGCTGCTGCGTCGAACACGGCTGGAAGTTCGTGCAGAGAACACGCCCCTTGAACTCCGCACGACCAAGGAGCGATCCATCTGGTGCCTGCAGCAAAGTCACATCCCCGGCATCCAGCAGCTGCACACCACTATCACGCAGCTGCCCAGCAGAGAGAAGACTCGCCTGCACTCCTGGTACGTACAGCACGTCCGGCACCAAGACACGCCTGCCCCCCTCTCCAAGAAGAGCGAATATGCTTCGCCCCTGCACCTCCTGAAGGGCGCCGTTGAAGCCGGTAACCTGTTTAATACTGCCGCCGCTGCTCATCTCTACAAAGGCAGAACGATCTCCCATGAGATGGTGGGAGCATCCGCTATCA